CGGCGGCCGCCGCGTGCTCGGCGTCCTTGCCGTCTGCACTGGCAGCCTCCAGCCGCGCCAGGGCCTCCTCCAGACCCTGCCCCGCCGACTGGGCACGCGCCAGCCGGGCTCGGGCCGCATGGGCTTCCCTGTCGGTTTCGTGGGGTGGGCCGACAGCGCAGGGTCATGGTAGTTCGGGGGAGAGCCGAGTTCTTGGCGCCCATCACCAACCACATGGGGCCATGCCAGGAGGGCACTGGGATCTGCCGTGCTGAGCCTTTGGCACATCCCCTGATGGGTATCACGGGGAGCCCCGTATATCGCATCCAACTCCCCTCCCTCCATTCCACACCTGAGCAGTCCGGCCTCCTCCACCTCGGCTTCCTGCGCTGCAGAGATGGCGGCATCCAGCCGCGCAAGGTCGGTGCACTCGTGCACTGCCCGCGTCAGAGCCTCGGCCGCCTTCTCCGCCGCCAGCCTCGCCCGTGCCGCCTGCAGAAGTCCACGAGGGTGATGGTGAGGATGGGAACAAGCACCGCTCCGCACGGCGGAGGGAGCGTGAAAGGGCGAAGAGCGATCGAGGAGCTTGGGTCAAGACATCAGGAGCTCATATCGACCAGCCAATGACGCCGAGGGCACGTGCGAGACTGAATCCCCAGTCAGTGCGCTTCACCTGCAGGACGGGGTCCAGCATGTCTGACCCCGGCGTGAAGTCGACCAGGGGCTGGGCGGCCGCCGTGGCCGCCGCTGCCGCCGCCTTGTTGACCAGGCTCTGCACAGGGGGGGAGGGTCTCGTGACATGGAGAGGATGGGACCGGTGTGGCCTGCAGTGCGCTCCACGCGCCGTCAGTACAGGACAGCAGGGTGGCGGGGTGAGCAGGCAGTCTAGGCCGCGCAAGTGGCTGGGCCGAGGAAGCCAAGTGTGCAGACGACCCCACCAGTACCCTCGCACACAAACTCCTTGGCCATCCGAGACCGCTGCGTGGAGACCTTCCGTGATCACCAAGTCTCTTGTCTGGCACTGGCAACAAACCCCAGCACCCAAACACAGAATGCCATCCTCCCCCCCCTTGCGCTCGCCTTGAGGCCCGGGGTCCTACCGCCGTTGGCGAGCACAGTGGCCGCCGCCAGCGCGACCTCTGCGGCCGTGGCCTGCGCGGCCAGCGCGCGCCCCGCCTTCCTCGCGGCCTCGGCGTCCAGCCCCGCGGCGGCAGCGGCCTCGGCCGCGGCGGCCAGGCGCGCCGACCGCGCGCCCACCTCGCCCAGCAGCGCCCGTACGTCCCCCGGGGGGCCAGAGA